CACTCAGAATCGCCCAGTCTTTTATAAGCTAGCTCTACATAAGGGGCATACAGGGAGTGAGATTCCAGGAAATCCAGATCCCGTCCCTCCAAGTTGATGGCACAGTCCAGCCCAGCACAAGCAGAATCTACAAAAGGCTTTGAGAAGGAAACAAACTCAGTGTGCCCAAGAGACAAAATGCTGAGGCTCATACATGAAGGAACACAATCAGAGAGGCAGACAGAGCCCAGCAGGGTCAGATGTGACATCTTTGACCCAATTGTAAATTCCAAGATTTTAAGCAAAGTATTGTATTTTGAATTATTATTTTTATTTCATTTTTAAGATTTATTTATTATGTACAGTGTTCTGCCTGCATGTCTGCCTGCACACTGGAAGAAGGCATCAGATCTCATTGGAGATGGTTGTGAGCTACCATGAGGTTGCTGGGAATTGAACTCTTGACCTCTGGAAGAGCAGTCAGTGCTCTTAACCTCTGAGCCATCTCTCCAGCCATTGCATTATTATTTTTAAAAAGATCATCCTAGTTGTTGTGGTAGGGAAGCAAGAGAATATAGGAAACCACTATGGTAGCCCAGGAAAGGCCCAGGTAGGCCATGAAAATGTTCCTAGAGAGACCTGCTAAGGGGGGTCTCATTTCTCCAACATAGTTTTTCACCTACACACAGCTCTCTGTTCATGAGGCCTGGGCTAGCCTTTGGTGAGAGGCAGGGCCAGCAGTGTAAATGGCAAGGAGGGCCTGGAACTTCCTATACACCAAGATCTATATGCATTCGTTATCCCATGATGATCTTGGATGAGGAAATGAATGTAGAGAGAAGTTCTATGCTTGAACCAAGGCCATACAGCCCAACAGTGTGTTCAGTTGTTCCTAATCTTAAAATCTAAAAGTCCTTGCTCTTTTCACAGCATCCAGTGGCCTCCCAGATAAAGGCCCTTGGGAAATTCTTGTATACCACTAGTGGCTAACACCTGCCCAAACACCCCACCAGTCTGTTCTCACCCACTCAGTTGTACAGGCAGATGTTTTCTGTCTACCGTTAACCCTCCTAGAGATCCCACACTCTATAGAGCTAATGCAAGTGTCATAACTATGTTGACTTTCCATCACTAGGATGAGTGTGCAATGTAATCAACTTAAGAGGAGGAAGGGTACACTTTAGCTTATGGCCTCACTCCATGGTTCCTTTGCCCCATTGCTTTGAGCTCACGAAGCACACACAGTACATGGAAGTCTTCATGGCAGAGAAGGGCTGTTCAAATCATGGCATCCAGGAAGAAACAGAGAAGTGGGGCGTGGTGGAAGGGTGAGTGTTCCAACATCCTCTTCAAGTGAACATCCTTACTTAATTTCCTCCCAGTGGCTCCACCTCCCCAAGGCTTTATCTCCTCCAAAGAGGTAACCACAGGCTGGTGATTAAGCCTGAGAAATACACAGGGAAAGAGATTACAGGAAGCTCAGCTCTCAGTACAACCACATCAACATAACCAGTCCAGCATCCAGTACAACCATGCCGACACAGCATCCAGTACAACTACGCTGACAGCTTGATCCAGAATAACAGGGATCCTGCCTGGACCCTGAAAAGGAAATGAACTCAGTGTGCCCCAGAGATAGCAAAGAAAGGCTCAGGACATGGAGGAGCATGGTCAGAGAGGACAATTGGAGGACAATTTTCTAAATCCTAGGTCCCGAGACATTATTGATCTGGTTTGGGTTCTCCACCATCCCTACTTGAGGCTTTATGTTACATGAACATATGTGATTTTAGGAGAGAGAAGAGATTTTTGGTTTGCTGGTCTTATAGCTCACGAGAATGGGGTTACTCTCGATAATTAGAGAATAAATTAAGTGCTATATAATTATTTGTATTTTTATTTAATTTTAAGTGTATGGACCCTTTGCTTGAGTGTATGTCTGTGCACCATGTGCATACCTGGCACTGTAGGAGGCCAGAAGAGGAAATCAGACCCCTGGAACTGAGCTATGTTGAGGGATATTTGATCACACTGTGAAACTCTGAGAACGAGTTAATAAAATTAACCTTGGATGGGGGTGGTGTAAAGCCAGTGACTACTTGACAGGAATTAGCCATACAGAGTATGGAGGACCTGGGAAGACAGAGACACACAGGAAGGGTTTGGGAGGGACTTAGAGATTCAGTCTTTTTCTGGTTTGGGACTAGTGGAGAGATGCTTCTCTTGCTGGGTCTCCAGCCAAAAAGGAAGCCAGATGATTGCTTCTGGGCTTCTCTGATGTAGCAGGTTTTCACCCCAACATCTGACACCCGAGTCCTTATTGGTAATTAGGATGATAGAGACTTAGTTAAAATCTACATTTGGTGGCCACAGCCCAAGCTGGTGCTGGAGGGACCAGAAATCCCATCAGGCTGTGGTCTTAGTGGCAGGTTGTTAACTACAGTGCCTTAGGGTGCAGAAGGTAGTTAAAATATCAGTAGATTCAGATATGGCCAATAAGCTGACAGAAAACAGTTATAGACAGTTGTAAGCTGTCATGAGGATGCTGGGAACTGAACCTGGGTCTTCTGGAAGAGCAGCCAGCGCTCCTAACCCCCAGTCATCTCTCCAGCACCTACATAACTTTTTTTGTTTGTTTGTTTTTCGAGACAGGGTTCCTCTGTGTAGCCTTGGCTGTCCTGAAATTTGCTCTGTAGACCAGGCTGGCGTCGAACTTACAGAGATCTCTCTGCCTCTGCCTCTGCCTCCCAGGTGTTGAGATTAAAGACTCACCACCACCACCATCACCTCCCAGCCCTATACAACTCTTACAAGTCTATGTTCTTGCAAGGTAGTGTGTTGGCTAGTTATATGTCAACTTGACACAACTAGAGTTATCTCAGAGGAGGGAACCTCAATTGAGAACATGAATTTATAAGATTGGGCTGTACGCAAGCCTGTAGGGTATTTTCTTAGTGATCCTGTGGAAGGAGAGTGCAGGCCATTGTGGGTGATGCTGCCACAGGGGTGGGGGGCTTGGGTGCTATAGGAAAGCAAACTTAGCAAGCCATGGTGAGAAAGGCAGTAAGCAGAACCCCATAGCCTGTTTTGTATCAGCTCCTGCTTCTAGGTTCCTACCCTGTCTGAATTCCTGCCCTGACTGTGTTCAGTGATGTAGTGTGATATTGAAGTATAAGTGAAATGGCCCTTTTCCTTCCCAAGTCGCTTTTGGTCGTGGTGTTTTCATCACAGTGGAGGAAACCCTAACTAACAGGCAGTGTTGTATTTCCCCCAGAAGCTTTTTCTCTGTGCCTAAGAAGCCCATTAAAGTGCTTTCATGTCTTTATCTCAGCTGACATCAGTAGCATGAGATGAAAGCCAAGAAGCAAAGGAATAAAGGGTATATGAGAATTACTCTGAAGCACGCAGCAATTAAAGGGCAGATAAAGGCATCTTAAAAAGTGTATTTTGGTATCAGTGGGCTTTTATTGATATCACTGTCCTTTCACAAAATAGCTTCAAAGCATATGTCCCAGTATTGTTTGGATTAAAAATTACTTAGAGTATATCTACAAAGTCATACTGTAGGCATATGCTGTATATCCATTGTGGTTACCTCGTGAAAACACAGTCTTTGGCTAGTAGGCATGTACACTGCCCACCTGTCACGTGCAAGGGCCACAGGCTAACTTCCCAGAGTAAGTTACCTGGAGAGAGCTGGTGTTTGGCTGGGATTCCCACCAGCAACATTCCAAACCACCTGCAGCATGAGGAATGACAGTATTTGGGGAAGTACATGAATGGAGACTGAACTTCTAGCCAGAGACATTCTTTTCTACTTAGCTCACTGGACCTCCTCCTCTCTAAGGCAGTTTCCAATCCTAGCAGAGGCTAACTTGACCCTGTCCATGCCTCCACCAACAGAATTTACTGTTTCCTGTAGTTCTTGTTTTCTTTTAAAAATATTTCTGTAAAGATTTTATTTTGCTTTTAAATTACATGTGTGTCATGCCTGAGTGTGGTCTTGTGCACATCTGTTCAATGCTTGCAACAGCTGGAAGAGAAAACTGGATTCCCTGGAGTTGGAGCTCCAGATGGTTGTGAGTTCCCCAATGTGGGTGCTGGGAATAGAACTCTGGTCCCTCTACAAGCTCAGATGACCTCTCCAGCCCATCCCCTGCCTTGGGATCTTACCACTGCTTTTCTGATGTAACGATTGACACGATAATACTCTAGGCATTCTAAAATGAGGGAAGTTGATAGTGAAATTCGTATTCCCCTGAGCTTATTAAAGGAGTTGGCAGCTGCTTTGCTAATTTGTGGGAACCCAAAGCCTATCAGGAAAGGTAATAGAGGAATTTTTGAGTGGGGAAAGGCCTAGCACTTGCGGATAAAGCTTCATTTTGTTGTCATCTTATGAGCTTCAGGATGTCCTGTAAACAATCTGGGAATAGCCACAAATGTCATAAACATGTGATTCCTATGTGTTTAAGATGTTAGCATTCTGTCACAAGGGAAGGCTATACTTTCACCCTGGCTCATGTATTGAAGATGCCTGAAGATAATAAGTTAGGTAGAAAAAGAGAAAAAAGTAAAGAAAAGGAGGTATAATACTATATACCTCCATTAATCCCAGCATTTAGAAGGCAGATATATGTGAGTTCAAGGCTGGCCTTGTCTACATAGTGAGTTCTAGGATTGCCAGATGAGAAACTATCTCAAAAAACAAAACAAAACAAAAACAAAAACAAAACAAAACAAAAAAAACAAGCAAAGAGACCAAGAGTTAGAGTTGTGCAATATGAAATAGCCAGAGTTGGCCAATGTCTGGTGTTTAATGGCCTTTCTATCTCTAACACATACAATTAGGAAATCATTCAAAATCAAGTTTTAGGCACCATGGAAGACTTAGGGGAATAACCTGTCCTCAAAAACAATCTTATTAGAAAGAGAAAAACACACAAAAAGTAATTAGATAACAGTGAAGTGTTTGCTCATGAGACACTGAGCAACAAGTCAAATAAGAGACAAGAGAATTTGAGTAGCCAGAAAATATATTTTTAATTGCTAAGTTTTTGCATTGTTAGTGATCAATTCCAGGGCCTTGTCTGTGCAAGGCAAGTGCTCTACTCCAAAGCTATGCCCATAGCCCCCTAGGAGGGTTTTATTTAAGAAGCAAAATTTGAAATGCGCCTTGAAGATGGGATCAAGTCAACGATGAAATCACACAGTCTCAAAAGCTACATGGAAGGTTCTAAAAGCCAAGTCTGGCGATGTCTCCTGTGGAACCAAAAACCATTAGCATGATCTCTCACATACTGCCTGCTGGGCCTGTAGGCTGGCTCATGTGCAGCTGCTGATGGCTAGCATACAGACAGACCTAGGCTTGGTGACATGGGTCTCAGAACCCTCTGGAAGCTGCAATGTGTGGCTCTAGAAGCCTAGACAGCTATTGTGCATGGGATAAGCATCCAGGGACACTTGCCCAGATCTGACATTATCATGACCGTGCTCAAGAGCTTGATGAAATTTTGTTGGCTGAGTATAACAAGGACAGTTTTTGCTTCTAGCAACTCTTGCTATTTAGATTTCACAATTAACTCTCTAGCGTTGGTTATGCTTTCAAAATCATGCTTTATGTTTTCTAGCCAAGTTAATGAGTTTATGTATTAGAGCCCGCTCCCCACCAACAGCATTTCAGTATGATCTAAAAGCCATTTAAACACAGAGCGCTTGTTGGTAAATTGGTTTCTTATGGAGTTTTTGCACGAGGACCTTTGGGTTTTTTAGCTTTTCTGTTTTTCTTGTTCTTTTGCTGTTTTCTCCCCCTCTTTTGCTTCTTCTTTTGGCTGATCTGCAGGAAGTAAGAAAAAGGCAATGCTTTCAAATGTTGTAATTTTCCCTCCTGATGGCTGAACTCCTCTGAACCGCCATCCATTCTTCTCAGAAACACCTTAAGTCGCTGCTTTCTCAGGAGCACTAGCCTCATTATCAGTTCTCCCTACATCAAAGAAGCAACTACAACTCCCTCTTAGTTTGCGTTTGTCTTTCTTCCTGGCATCTCACTGTCTTCACTTCCTCCTCTTTCATCATCCGCCTGTGCCAAACAGAGCCCTCTGGGGCTGGTACTGCTGTCTTCCACCTTACATATAAGTCAGTGGTTCTCAATCTATGGGGTCAAGACTTCTCTGGGGGTTGCTTATCAGATATTCTGCTTATCAGATATTTATATTACAATTCATAACAATAGCAAAATTATAGTTATGAATTGGCAACAAAATAATCTTATGGTTGGGGGTCACCACATACGATGTGGTGGGAGGGTTGCAGCATAGGAAGGTTGAGAACCACTGAAAGTGCCGCCTAAAGCTTAACAGCTGGGGCTCTCCCTACTTTGTCCTGGTTTCCTTCCCATCTCAATCGCTGTGTTCTCTGCACTTAAATTCCAGCTGCATTACATCAGACTCACCGAACACAGCCTGCTTCCTCATGAAACCACTAACACCCACACTGTACTTAATTAGCTTCCTGCTAAATACCTTCTCCTTTAAGATCTAAACCAAAGGTCACTTGATACAAAGAAGTCTATCTTAATACCATTCCTAGCCAAGCCAATTACTCTTTCCTTCATGCTTTTCAAGACTCTAGTGTATATTCTATTCTACATGTCTCCCGCTAAGTCTTGGTTTTTATACATTGTTAATGATGGTCTGCTATCGAAGGAAGGAGCTATCTATAGGTTGTTAGTTTTGAAACCTTAGTGTATTATTGCTTGATACAGCGGACGGGGAAATGTATTCTTAATGGATATGCCCACTTCCAGAGTTACTCTCTAAAAGAAAGACATTGTGTCCCGGCCCCATCACCAACCTGTTTCTCCCACTCTCTCATTAGCTTCTTCACGTTTGCTGAATCTGGGTTCAGACAGGTTTGAGTTCCACTCTTCAGTGTAGCACTGCCAGAGAAACACCAGTGAGCTTTCTCCTCAATAATTAACAGTTCTTAGTGGAAATAGTAGGGGGAAAAAACATGGGTTTTACTGAGTTTTCTAATGAAACCACTTAAAATACAGTAAAATGTATTAAGATTAACAGGAAGATCTCAGAAATTGTAGCAGACCTTTCAGGAGAAATCTCATTTTTTAATATTAATTTCTCTAGACAATTTGAGAATAAGAATAGCTATTACATATAGACTCCCTTGATTTAGGTGTCAAAAGTCTTACATATACATAGCCTTTCATGTCACAATTCTAATTTCCAAGAGGCTGGGAACAGAGGCTTATGCCTGGAATCCCAGCACTCAGGTAGCTGATGTAAGAGGATCATGAGGTTGAGGCTATCCTTGGCTACATGAGAAGACTCTGTCACAAAACAAAACAAACAAAATTCTAATCTCTATAAAGTATTTCTAGGAAAGAATTAAAGACAATATTGCAACAGTAATAGTGTGCCAAGAGTGAAATTTTTGACATAACCTATATTTCTAGCAATGAGCATTGACTCTACAAATTATGGCATATCAATATGATGTAAAACAATTTAGCCATTAAAAGTCATTATTAGGGCCAACGAGTTGGCTCAGTGGGTAAGCATACTTGCCTCCTAGTCCTGGAGAGCTGAATTCAACCCCCAGAACCCCAAATAAGGACAGAGGAGAGCACTGACTCCACTAAGTTGTCCTGCTATGGCCTGTGCCCTTGAACATGCAGAATAATGAATTAAAAATTATTTTACTTTTAATTTACATGTGTCTCTGTGTGTGTATGTATCGTTGTATGCAGGTGCCCACTGAGCCCCCAGAACAAGGTGTAGGATCTCTTGGGGGTGTAGTTATAGATGGTTGCAACTTGCTCAGTATGGGTGATAGAAACTTCACTCAAGTCCTTTGCAAGAGCATCAAGTGCAGCTGGCTATTGGCAGTGTGTGCCTTTAATCCTAGCAAGGAGGCAGAGGTAGGCAGATCTCTGAGTTTGAGGCCAGCTTGGCCTACAGAGTGAATTCCAGAACAGCCAGGACTACATAGAGAAACCCTGTCTTGAAAACCAAACCAACCCCCCCCCAAAAAAAAAAGAAAAAAAAGAAAAGAACCAAAACCAAAACCCAGCAACAAGTGCAATTAACCTCTCAGTTATCTCTCCAGTGACCCCTTAAAAAATTTAAAAGTCATTCTTAGGACTCAGGAGTAGTGTCCAGTGGAGAGTATATGCATAACCCATGCAAAGTCCTGGGTTCAGTGCCTAGTCCCTTCCCCCCTCCAAAACCTAACACGTATGACACTATTATAGAAGATTAACTGATGAGTTTCTCACATCAGTCCATTATTAGTGTGTTAAGAAAAAAGCAAATTACGAATGGGAACGTCTTCCTTATCCAAAGGGAAGATGTCCAGGTTCCTATACTCTCAGATGGTGCCTATGTTCTTAAAGTCTAATGTGTAAATTAAAAGCAAGATATCAGCAACAAGTAATATCAAAATAAAACAATTACAACAATGTACCATAATAAAATTACTAAAAACTTATGAAGCATTTGTTTCTGAGATATTCCATGGTTATCGTCAGGAAACTGAAACTTCGGAACTTTAATTAACAGAGAAGAGGATATAATATAACAGAACTGGATATAATGTGTAACTTTATTGACTTTACTTTTGTACACACAAAAGTATACATGTGTACATTACATATAAGCAGGACATACATGTGAAGGAGATGAATGTCCTGAGGGGCTAGGAGAGGAGAACTGTGACTATTTTCTTCTTTTCAACAATCTGCCTTAAACAGTTAAGCATCTAGGAGCCCATTTCAAAAAAATCCCAATTCTGTTTCTTTTTATCTTTTAAAAACTGTATTTTATTAATTCATTGAGAATTTCACTCAGTGTAGTTTGATCATATTCATGAAAGCCAATTTTTAACATTATGCAAATACACATTTTCTGAATTAGAATCCTAAATAGTCTTAAAAAGGTAAGTTGGTCTTGGGAACACTTCATTATTTAAATGGCATGTCATCTTTCATTTTCAGTCTCCATCAGAGATTTCTTATTTGGGAGGAGAAGGGAAAAAAAAGAGCAGATGGATTTACGGAGGAGCCAACTGCCTGTGTGAGCAAGTAGTCTTGAGGGTGAGGCTTCCACTAAGTTCAGTGTGAAATGAGTGCATGGAAGTTTTTACTCACATTATCTCAGTTTTGTTGCAATGAGGGCTTGGGGCAAACTGTTTGAGATCTCTTAAGGACCTGTAGGGGATTGTGCCTTGGCTGGTGCCAATACAGGAGCAGCGCTGATTCCTTATGACTAGGGTTCCTGTGGGAAAGTAATACACATGATTAGGTCTAGGTCCCTCTTGGCACTGTCAATTAGAATGATGTGTTTGACTTAGTCATTATTACTGTCCCTGAGTTTGTGTAAATCATCACCACAGAGTTTCAAGGTAGGCATTATTTCCATTCTGTAAATGAGGAAGCCAGGGTTAAGGACAAAGTCATTTAGCAAGAGGGACTAGGGAAAGAATTTCAGTTTGGGTCACTCTGAGTCCACTACCTTACACCACAACCTGAGAAGAACAGAAAACTTCCACAATACTTAATTAAATCCCCACTGAAGTCAGGCATACACGTGTAATCCATCTGTACTATAAGAACCAGTTCCTCAAACCATTTATTACCTGACCTTAGGGGCATGGAGTTGGTATAGGTATGGACAGAAAGCTCTACTTAAATAACCACTTACCACTTCCATCTTTTCCACCCCCACTTCTCCGAAAAATCTTTTTAAACATAATTGTCTTTGTCCCTTAATATTTACATAGACTCAGCATCTATTTGCATAGGGTTTTCTATCATATATTAACTACAAAACTTCTACTTTAAAGATGTGGAAAACACATTCTAGAAAGGTTATTTGTCCAAGGTAAACAAAGTCATGAATAAAAGGGCCAGAGGCAGCCTCTCTGATTTCTGAATTCTCAGTTGGTTAACCACAGACACATTTATCAGTGCACAGTATCAGATGAGGACAATGCAGGAGACAACTTAGAAAATGATCTCTTATCTCACTACCAGTTGCCAGTGCTACATTTCATACCTCGTATGGTAAATGACAGACTCACGTGAAATGGAAAAAAAAGCACCCAGAAACTCTTTTGCTCTGAAAAGGGGTTTCTCATTATTAAATATTCAAATGTATCTTGAATCCTCATTGTAAACTCACAATACACACACCAAGAAGGCATATTTGACTCGGTAGGTACAAATTATGACCTTTGGATAATCGGTCACAGCGTCCAAATGCTTTGATGAGTGAGCAATATTACTTTTTATTGCATGCAAAACAGTCAACTTTATCTGCTGAACCAAGAAGGCTTTTTATAGTGATGCACATCTCAGAATTTACTAACTTAATACAATGCAAAACTCCTCACCTTGAACCCCACACTGGTCCAGGAGGAAGATACCCAAGAGAAAAAGAACTGTTGACTTCATGGCAGAGCAGAGTTCTATTGAGTCACTGTGTCGGATTCAAGTCGAAGAATGTCTTTGGAGAACATGTTCCTGGGAATCATATTTATTTAGGAAGTCCCTTTCCCTTCTTGTTTCTGATTGGCTTGCCTCCTCAGCTGACCTAGAAGATCTAAATTAACCACAGACTCGATTGTCCTGGGGAAAACCCTACTCTCAGATCCCAGGGAATTTCTGCCTATTTTATTTCCATTTCATATAAATGGGTAGTTTATAGGAAGGGATGTGAAACCCCTAGTGCCTGCTTTTAGCACAGCCGGAGTTGCTACCTGAATGCAGAATGGATTATCTGATGAATATATTAGTGCCACACAGCGAAGGTAGGAGGTACGCTTCCCACAGGAGACATATTAAAGTTTAGGGAGGTGACTCTTTGGTATTTGTAGTGTACATATGTCTGTATACTATATGGCTACATTAATCTTTTCTCATATTTCTCTGACAACTCTAGCTTCTTAGTTTGTTGAGGGACTAGATTATTTTCTGCTTGTGGTAAATCCATCTTGTCTCATTGTTTCTACGGTTTACTAACATTTTATTTGTTAGATTTGTTGCATAAGCCACAGCTGTTCCAGTCCTTGCTACCCGGTTCCAAAGATTTCACCAAGTGTCTCTCTGCATCACTGACAGTATGACTGTGAAATGAGAACATGCATTAACGTATATTTTCTAAGGAGATTAGAGAGGCTACAGATTTTAAACAGCATTCAACAGCAAGTAATTTTTAAAAACCCAAGTAGCTATTAGAATGTTCTGGCTGTTCAAAATTCTTGTAACTGTTGAAGCTAAAACTGGAGTTAGTATGATAATGAGACAAATAATATCAAGCGTCCTCAGAGGATATCATTTTCTGGGACAGGATGAGAGCTGGAAGAAAGAAAAAGAGCCCAGGACAAAGGAATAAAGCCAAAAATGACCCTTTCAAAACAGGATCTGAGAAAAAGGAACAAATAAAAGTGCATATCGTGTGGGTGCTATATATAGAATTTTGAAACTTCATGTCCAGACAAGGGTGTAATTAGAATATAATGAAAGTACGGCAATCATCCCACCGAACACTGGATAAGACTGGCAAAGCTATTAAATTTTTTTTTGCTCTACTTCACACAATTGTTAATTAAGATAGGACTGGCAAAAGGTATTAGAAACGTTTTGGCTCTACCTCACACCATTATTGAGTACACTCTTTAATAGGGAAAGATGACAGCTAAGAGATGATACTGTGCTGTAGTTGAGTATGTACACATCTAGACTTTGTCTCTGCATAGACTGCATCTAGGCTTTCAATTCTTTATCTCCTCTAGAGACGACTGCGCCAGGATTTCAGTGAACTAGCTCATGTAGCTTCCTTTTAAACTTCTCCTAGAAGAATACCATTGGACAAAATGAACAACTGCATATAAATTATGCTTCCTCTTCTCTCTCTCCCACCTGCAGCTCCTTTCTCTCTCTATCCATCATCTCCTATGTCAGCTGGTTTGACTAAATGATAGGCAGTTCTGGAGAGCCTTTAGTTACACAGGCAACACCCCAAGGTATACCCTAGTCTTGGTAAGATAAAAACTAGACATTCCTTGAATAAAAATAAAAGTCATGCATGGCTTACACAGTCCCCTATAGTCATCTGAACAGTTTACCAACTTTTTCATTAGGTACTCCCCTATAGAAGAGAATATGTAACTTAATTAAAATAATCAAAGTCAAAAGCAAATTTCTCTTAAGAGAGAAATGGGAATATATATGTATCATATATACATATATTTTTTTACTAAGAAATGGATTTTATAAGGTGATGTTGAACTAATCATTGTAACACAGACTTTTTTAAAAAAATAAGGTCAATGACTCACTCTGTACTCCGGGCTGGCTTTGAACTTGCCATTCTCCTGCCTCAGCCTTCAGTGTATTGGGGTTGTAGATCTGCATCTTGTGCCCTGGCTAATGTCTAAGAATTTTTTAGTCTCTCCAGACTGATGGTTGTCCTTGAAGTAATTATTCTTCCCCTCTCCCTAAGGAATGAATAACATATTTGCATTTTATGTTACACAATACACAATCTTTATTCCTTTCTCTGTGGGTTAGTAATATCTAAATAAAATGTTACAAAAATCATATTGAAAAACAAAACTTGTGGTGACTTTTGACATGTTTATCCATTGGTTATGCTTAGTCCTGGTAATGACTGTGACGGTGATGCCTAGAGTGGACCTGGGTTCAGGTACCAGTTTTACTACTTGATATAGCTTCTGCCAGCCTTGGCTCTCTCACCCAAGAAAACAGCGGCCAATTTCACAAGTGGTTGTTAAAGATTAATAGCAAGAATATACTGCCGGGGGTAGCAGTCAAACAGAGATTTGTAACTAGTCAAAGGGTGGAGAATTAGTGACTGCAAAGGGTTCTAAAGAGGACATCTGTGTCACCTCTGCCCCCAGGTTCAGGGACTATCCCAGAGGAGGAGGGGCTAGAAAGAATATTAGAGCCAGAGTTGGGGAGGAGTACAGCTAGTTTTCTGGACGGGGACATCCCATTGCACACATGAACTCACCACTACTGTGTTTACCTGCTCAGGACATGCAGAACTACGGCAATCATTTCATCATACCTAGGGGAGGGGCTCAGGAGACCCCACCCTTAGTTTAATGTGTATGAGTCAGAAAAGAAAGGAGTTCAAAGTAGCAAGGGCATTTCCGGGAAGAAGACAGCAGGAGTAAGGGCTGAGAGAGGGCAATGGTGGGTGAAAATGCTTACAATTCAGTTTGTGCGTATATGAAACTGTCAGCGTATACAGAAAGAACACGCTGCCAAGCACAGTCCCCTCGGAACCAGTGGCTATTTTTTCTAGCAGAGCTGATGGAGACTTCCTAGAATAAAGAGGAAGAAGCTCAGTATGAACTGTCTATTTTACTCTTCTAGACTCTAATTGCATCATTCTTTCTCAAGTCCTGACTCACTGCTCGTGTTTTCTTCACGTCTGTAATGTGACCGCTCTGCATGCTTACCCTGCAGCACGATAGCTTTACCTTATTCAGCATCCCGACTTTGGGAAGATGTCACTTAGCTCTAGAAGCAGTCAGTCCTCGTGGCATCCTGTGGCCTGTCCTCATTGAGCCAATAGAGTAAGCAATGTTACCAGGGATACTCTATATTCTCTTCTTCTATTAGGAGGAGGGTTTGCAAAGATCCATGTTTGAACATGATGATAACCCGCCACCTCTCCTGGAAGAACGCTCTCGAAGTCTAGTACAGTAAATAATCGCTATAAAAGTTCACAAGTGACAAGCAGGGACCAGAGCCCAGTTGGGCAGATCTGGCATTAGCCAAGAATTGAAATCTTGAGCCACAGATTCTGTGACCTCTTCTAGTGCAGCTATGCTTAGTGCGCATGCTTAGCCAGTTTGCTTCCAGAACTTTCCTCCACTCGGAGCGCCCAACGCTCACTCACTGTACGTGTATAGCTGCTGGGGCTGCCTGCACTCATCTCCTGAAGAACAGAAGCACTTTAGGGAGGAAGGTAGTGTGTGCCCTGGCGCTCTCCCCTCCATCCCCACTGTCCCTCAGCCTCCTGGTCCGAGGAGGCCATTTGTCCTGAGGAAGAAGCAGAGTTGGAGGCTCAACTGGGAGCCCTGTTTGTGGCTTTCTCAGGCGCCTTGGTGAGGGTGGGAGGGAACAATGGCTCCAGAAACCCAGCTCATGGCATGGAGACCACAGGGATCAGGAATGTCCCTAGGAGGATGGGGGTGATTGAGGTGACCCTGAGGAGCTGGTGTTGAGGTCGGTTGGAGCTCCTAAGCCCCTTAACACAGGATGTCCTGAGCCCCAGAGCCCCTGGACTCCAGATGGTTTGATCCTTAGAGGCAGTGAGTTCCAGAGCCCGGGCTTCCTGCTGCCTTGCGAGGGCTCCTTCCTCACTAACAGCTGGGGAGGCCTCCTGAGCAGCCGGAATATCCTCCATGGTAAGGCTTGTCAGATTAGCCTGGGCCCTTAAGCATGAGGTTAGACCATTTGGGTTCAGGCCTTTTAAGACATTTGCTTCCCAGATTTCATTTTTTGACAAATTCATGCCAGCTTCCAGAGGAAGTTCGGTGCAGTCTGAAAAGAAGAAAGAGTCCCACAGACTGCGTTTATGGATAGGCGTCTTTTTTAGGAGAAATAGAAACTTGCTAACTAAGACAGGATGTTGCTGGAGTTTCTCACAGGCCTGGGAAGAAAGCCAAGGATTATCAGGACTGTTGCAATCAACAGACAGTTCTTAATATTCCCCCTTGGAGAACAACAACAACAAAACTTCTTTTCCAAGAGAGTGTCCCTGAGGAACTCAATGGTGATGTAATTTCCAAGAGTCAGGCACAGCAGGCTTGTTGGCCCTCTGTGTGTGTCATCTGGCTTTCCCTTCCACCTGTTTTATAATGGGATTGTGTAGATCTGTTTAAATAGGTTAACAGTAGTAAAGATAAGAGGCTTTGCTTTGCTTGTGGAGGGGGGGTACATTTCTTTCAAATTGAAACTCATGCTTGTTTGAATATCATGCTATGTGGACTTCCCCCTCTTCTGCAGTTTCTGCTAGCATTCAAGGATCCTAACTTGAAAACGGTGTATTTCTTGAAAGTCCCCAGCTATGAGTTAGCATCCTGAATTCTTTGCCCTCAGTCAGGGAGTCATTCCTATGGGGGAAAAAAAATTGAAAAACTTTATCGCTAGCAAATCCTACTTTTTCCGTATTTCAGGTCACTAACAAAAAGGAACAAACTCTTCCTTCATTAATATTACTATCTTGGCTTTGTGGTTTATGTCTAATATAAGTCCCAGGGTTGATTTGATTTGTGACTAGAGAGATAAGATCTGGACATCTTTTCAAGGACAGATGTGATCCAGTGCAGGCAGCAGCACAGTTGTTTTGCCCTGTGACTTGTGGGGACCAGTCTGCAATCTGATGACACGCAGTAATAATAATCACAAAAAGCTGCTTCCAAGACTTGAAGAAAATTGCCCTGAAATGGGAGAGCATGTTTTACATATTCATACTTATTTTAAGCATTCACTTAAAAGTTTAAAA